TTTAATGACAGATCTATAAAGATTACGGAGAGGCTGGTGTACAGGTGTACTTATGTGGCTGCCAGAGTGAGTGACCAGTACATACCAATAAGTTTTGACTACATTTTAAAAATACAGGGTTCAAGAGGGTGTTTTTGCAGTGATTATATAGAAGAACCATTCTGGGTTCCCCAAATAATCTTTCTTTGAACTGTTCTTAGAAGAACCATTTTTTTTTTCTTAGTGTGAAGAACATTTTAATGATCTAAAAAAAATTTTTTTTTCCACTATAAAGAACCTTTTGTGTAATGGAAAGTTTGCATGGATGTTAAAGGTTCTTCCTATGGAACCATCAAAGCCAAAAATGAACCTTTATTTTTAAAAGTGTTCTCTTCCATGTCACATGTTCCTTTTGTTGTGTTTGTTGATGTGGAATTCCATCTAAGTGTGCAGTCAAGATGGATCTGTTGGTCAGCACTATTTGTAATATCTCTCTCTCTTTCAGGAGGTGTTGTAGAGAGTATGGAGAAGGGCGATTTCTTCAGTGAGACAGTAACTAAATCGATTCTCTTCTCATCAGTACATGATGCTGTTCTTTACAGTCAACAAGGAAACAGCAAGGAGGTACAGTACATCCTTATCTCACATACACATACACGCATATCAGAGGTTTCCTAATCTTAATTAGACATGTGTTGAGTGTTGGTGGCCCAGACAGTATTTCGAAACAAACATGCATGAATAAACATCATTTCTTGGCTTTCTACTTTTACAGGTTATGCAGGGAACACATTTGTAAATCCAAACACCAAACGTGATATGGAACGTTCCGGAACATAAAGCTGGATTGTTATTTATTGTTTATTTCATAATGGGGAAGAATAAGTTAAGGAGGTTTTTTCGCTTTTTTTGAAATAATAAACAGAGACTCTTTTGAATGTGAAATATCTTAAAATGGATCAGCTGTAGAATTTTATTGTGGAAGGCAATTAAAATGTAAATCAAATTTTTTTTTAAAATTTCACTTAGCTGTGAAACATCTAAGTGACAGGTTATTCCAGGTTGTGATACTGTAGAGTTCCAGGTACATGATGACACTGAAATATTACACAAGACTGTAAACCCAGTTTTCACAATATAATAAGACTCCTGGAAAGTTCCAATTTTAGCAATATACACTACAGTACAAAAGTTTGGGGACAGTATATATTTTTTTATTGATCAAAAGTGTCAGTAAAGACATTTAAAATGTTACAAAAGATTTCTGCCAAATAAAAGCTGTTGTTTTGAAATTTCTATTCATCAACAAATCTTGAAAAATATGTATCATGGTTTGCACAAAATATTAAGCCGCACAACTCTTTTCAACATTGATAATAATATGGTTTAGCATGGTTTTAGCATCAAATCAGCATATTAGAATGATTTCTGAAGGATCATGTGACACTAAAGACTGGAGTAATGGCTGCTGAAAATTCTGCTTTGCCATCACATGAGTAAATTTTAGAAATGTTCTTAAAATAGGAAACAGTTATTTTAAAATGTAATAATATTTCACAATATTACTGTTTTTACTGTATTTGTGTTAAAAAAAATGCAGCCTTGGTGAACATAAGAGACTTCTTTTAAAAACATTTAAAAAATCTTTATGACCCCAAACCTTTGAATGGTAGTGTAGTATTACCATTATAAAAAAAATCAGTTTATGTATTTAAGTGTGTATAAGCTATGTATGGTGTTTGTTAACTTTGTATGCAAGTGTATTTACGATCATTCTAACTTAAATAAAGTCATTTTCTTATTCTTGTGGTGAATTGTTAGTAGGCCTATCTGCCATGTTAGATTACCGGTTATCTGTGAAAATATTTAATACAAAAAAACATATTCCTCTTTTTTATGTTCGGTCTGAAGTGCTGATAAGCATCTTAGTGATATTTAAAATTTAATACGTAGTTCATTGTCATTTGATGGGTGCGATTTTCCTGTATGAAGACACATTCAGAAAGTTCATAAATAGTGACTTTATGTAAATGGTCTTCCCATAACAAGTTTCCGAAAAACTGGTAATTCCAGCATAATCCCAACAGGAAAAAACCATCTAGAACCCGCCCAAGTACCAGCATATTGTTTCAAGAACAGATTATATCTTTCCTGTGACAAAAGCACAAGTGGTGTGCATCTGACTTACTGTGCACATAAAAGGTGAATAAATAGCTAATATGTTACAGACATTTCATCTGTATATCACACAAAGACTAGAAAACAACTCCAGTACTGAACAGCATTAGTCTCATACCTGAAGCTTAGCTCTCTCAAGACTTATTGAAAGACAGTCGACATATGAAGATGAATGAGTTTAATAAATCTCATTAAGCTGTAACGAATGTGATGCCTGCTATGTCTATCTATAAAAGAGTGAACGGAAGAGGGAGGCTGAGGCAGAGAAATAAAGAGGGGGGGGGGTGGAGAGAGAGAGAGAGAGTGAGTGAGTTTCGTATGTATGTGTTGGCGGTTTCTCACACAGCTCCCCTTTCATTATTTCTCCACCCATAAGGCGGCCGCTCAGCATCTGTGTGTGAGCGGATCAGAGTTGAGCCCAGTGCGGGAAACAGCAGCAGGCTGAGCGCCGCTGTCAACGACCGGCTCCGATACCGGACCACTGACTCGAAAAGTTGACTTGATTTCTGTCTCCAGCATTCAGTCTGTAGCAGGTTCAGGTAGGTGGTTGGTTGAATTTGTTTTTGTGTTTTTTTAATATCTAGTAAATATGATTCTGTATTAAATAATGGGGAATCACCTTTGCCAAGCACTGTTTAATACAGACATAATCTAAGACAGGCACGTGCACCGAGTCACGGGAATTCACGTTCCTTAAAGAAACGGCGTGTTTACATGTTAGGGGCAGAAAACAGATTTGTTTTAGGGCAGAAAACAGATTTGTTAAATAGTTCTCCACACCTATGACCATTTATCTTTGTTATGGGCACAAATATAATCAAAACTAGAAAGAATTAGGCTCTTAAAAAGCAGACCCGTTTGGTGACATTTTTACGGATACTGACACTTAGTCAGCTGAGAAATGCATAGCATTTTGAAGACGTATAGACATGTGAAAATAAATTTGAAAAAAAAAGGACAATTAACATTGCATAAATAAAACGGCATTAATAATTAGGCTATTGTTAATTATCATTAATAGACTGTAGACCGATAATCGGTTTGGTGGATTGTTATGGATTATTTTTCAACACTTAGCTGAGAAAGGCATTGCATTTTAAACTTAGACAAACAAATAGACTGTGAAAATAAAAAATTGACATTTAGATGGCAAAACGACGTAATTTTCAGGGCCGCTGCTGGCCAAATGGGTGCCCTAAGCAGAATTGTATTGTTGTGCCCCCTCCCCAAAATATTATGGAAGAAAAAAAAAAACACCTAGGCCTACTATAGGGGCCAAAATAGAACTTTAATAAAATATAAAAGTAAATAACTAAATTGTAATTAAATTGTATTATTTACAAATTGTAGCTAGACAGTCGCCTATGGCTATGATTTTACTAATACATTTGTCTGATTGATTTTATAGTCTCAAGCATTCAGAAATCATACAAAAGAAAATTAAGCAGTTTTACTACGATAAAACCAAGGATTAGTTTTTGTACATGTTGTGATGTCCACATGCTTTTGTTGAAGAAATTATAGAGGCTAGCATTTCTATCGCAAAAAGGTGGCCAAACATTAAATATTAAGTGGATATTTTAATTAAATGTTTGGTCAATATTAAGGATTAACCAATCATTATTGCCTCATTGTTTTTATATAATGCATTTTATGTCATTTTAAAGGTTGTTGTTCGCTTAGGTCTGTTTTTATTACCACAAAAATATTATCTGAATACTTCGTAAATTATTATTTGAAGCGATTTGAAGTATCAAAACCATGGTTAATTTGTGGTTACCATTGCTACAAGAACCAAGTTTTTTTTTATTTTTTTTTATTCATAGTAAAATTATGGTTAGGCCTAATTTTCGTAAGGGAACTTGGAAACTGAGAGAATATTAAGGCAGATGCGGCGGTGATATTATTATACACGTTATTAACGTCAACATCCAAAAAAGTTTCACATGATTATGAACGTACCTAAAAGTGATGCACGAGCTTCATCTTGGGCTTTTTTTTCCTTCTTTTTCTTATCTCGGCGCCGGACTACTGATGTCTTTTCCCGGGCATAGTTGTCCATCAGTTGTGATCATTTGCGTTATGTACATTAAGCAATAAAAAAAATTTACAAAAAAAGTTGTGATCATTTGCAGTCAGCCGCAAACATGAGGTGAGAGCGAGCGCGGGCGCGGATGCGGGAATGGCGCGTCACGTGTGCTTCGCCTGTCTACTGCATTCACCGTAAAACGCATTTTTATAATTATGTATATATGTTCATGTTTATATTTTTATTTACGTATATGTATATGTTAATATTAATATAGAACGATTTTTTTTTCTTTGAGCTACTGGGATGCCCCCCTGGAGTTGGTGCCCTACGCAAACTGCGTACTCTGCGTATAGGGAGCGGCGGTACTGTGTAATTTAACGGAACTAATTATTAAGAATTCACAATTAACATGCTTTTATTGTTGTTATATTGTAATAATTTTTAGTTATTATTGTGTAAAATTAATAATCAATTCTGCAAATTGGTTATGCAAACATGATATTCTGTATCTGTCGTAAATAAAAACAGTATTGGTCGAGAACTATAGGCTGTGTAAGGCTAACGCATGAAAACACCTAAACGTGTGTCCTGTCATTCAGTGTTTCTCCGGGTTGAGAGAATGGGCCGCTTAACTGTGCCTATACTAAAGCAGTCAGTGCTGGCCTCGATTCTCTATCGACCCAAATAGCCTTAATAGATTGGGCTCAAATTAATTGGCAGGTCGATGCATTGGCACTGGCAGCTTCTCTCACTGTCTCCCTCTTGGCATGCTGTCAGTCACAAACAGTCATGCAGTGCTTGTGTACATGTTGCTAAGGGATCAGGACAGTCAGTGTTATCTCTCCGGTCCGCTCTGACTAAGCGACTGTCATTTAAAACATTCTGCCGGTCGCTGCACGTTGCGCTGCATCAGATGAATGAAATTCCCGGAATGCATATGCTAGCCACCTGCCTATTAGTCGCTGCTGTTTCATACTGGTACAGCAGCGAGCTTCTGACAGCGCTCCGTCTGTTTATTTCAGACTCAGCCCTCGGAGGGGACATGCCGGAACCCGAGGGGAATCGTCTGTCACCGCAAGGTGTCCCTTACACCGACCTGCCGCACATCGTCAACGCCGACGGACTGCACCTGTTCTGCCGTTACTGGGAGCCCGACAGTCAGCCAAAGTAAGTGCGAGACATTCATATGCAAAACAGACACAGGTCAGGCCTCTTGGGATAAAGCGAAATATTCTCCCGTTGCAGCCTCCAGTAGAGCAGGACGAGAGGCTGATAAGTGTCTACGGATGTTTCCTTACCGAGCTTAGGCTATTTTTAGCCCACTTTGAAGAGTCTGCCTTTCCATTCCAGCACCTTAACGATTACTTTAAAACGCGACACACATTCATAACTACAAGCAGGCTATAACAGAGCAGGTTCATATTTGCAGTAAACGTTAACAGTTGGGTTGATGATCTGAGATTTTCTGCGTGGTTCTCTTTTATCTCTTTTGCAAACTGTTGGCCCCATCACATGATGTCTAGCTGATGAGTGAGGAAATAGACGAGGGAAGTTTCTTGTAAAATCCTGTTTTTAAAGGTGCAGTTAGGAATATATAAATGTACTGCTAAATAAAATATTCCACATATAAATTCAATAAAGAATGCAGTATGTTTTAATGTTTTATTACAAACAAAAATAATTTATAATAATAACAATAATATAGTAAAAACGCTGTTGCAAATGCATCATGTCATATGAACAAGTGAGTAATGTTTCTAATTTATATTTCATGAAAAACCCACTTTACGAACACTGAAAATGATAACTTAAGTGAATTCAATGAAGGATTCAAACTGATAACTCCAGTTGATGAAGCTGCATCCGAAATCGCTTCACTGCCATTCACAACATCTCTCCTGAAGCTTCATAATTCATTGTAAGCCCTCTTTTGAGGCACGCGCAACCCCCCCCCCCCCGTTATAAAAAAAAAACAAGTGAGCTCCCCCAAAATCCACGGTATAGTTCGAACACTGCCTCATGGGATAGTAAAGTGTCCATGTCTGGATATTTTCGGAAGTAGTAGGTCCTCTGGGTACATTTTACCTACTTTTTCAAGAATATTTGTGACATAATACTTGTCTGTTTAGCGAGAAAGTAGACATATTTGGATGTATGATGAGTCTTTTTAAATGATTCTTTAAAAGATTTGTTTGTTTGTGAAACACACTGGATGTGCTGTATACCGCTGATAAGTTATGCTGGAAACATTCAAAAAATATGAACAACATTTTGGAGAAACAACATTAAAGTGATGCAAACTGAATGAAATGAAGACTCCAGACATACCAATCTTCTACAAAAAGCTGTTTTATTTTACACTCAGCTGGCCGGCTTCTCATGGGTGCTGCCCAGTTGACATCACATGCCGTGCAAATTAACCGACATATTAATAGTTTATTTTATAGAGAATTTATATCTTACAGGCAGTGCCTGCTTTCACTCACAATGGTTTTTAAGTGATATAAAGCCAGTTTCTCATAAACATTATCTTGTTAAATGACTACAGTATACCGTCCTGATACTCCGTTAAAGTGAATGAGAAAGGGGCCCACTCAGTATATGCGGTGAACGCTGAAGGGAATGTCTTGGTTTCCATGAGTCGAAAGCCCCTGCTCATGGCCTCTTTATGTCCACTTATAGACACACACACTCTCAAAGTACAGATCTGCTACACTTTTTTACTATAGTGTCATCAGCTGTGGTTCTCCTTAGTCATTTTAAAAATAGGTCACATTTTTTAGTATGTTGGTTTGTCAGATGCTTCCATCTGCAATACAGTTTTTAAAAATTGCGTATACACTAAAAGTGGTACTTGAGGCCCACTCGGTGAAACCATTCACTCATATACCTAATCTTTAGGCCAAGCCTGCAAAACTACAAGCACATTATGTGCTTCAAACTCAGTTTGCTATTGTAAAACAAACTTTTTACAAAACTCTAAACGCAGTTCTCTACATTACACACATCATTCAAAACTAACAGCTCTTTTGTTTAATTTGGGAAACACTGCCATTTAAATGCCACACTCATTTACTGATGACCTACACCCAGTGATCATGAAAACACTTACACATAATTTGTTCACTTTGAAATAAAAACTCAGTGTTTCTCACACATCTTCTAAGAAGCTAGGTATAAAATAGCATTTCTCATCTCACACTTGTCTTGCACACACACACACATTAAGGGGAGACACTGCAGGCAAAAGCACTGTTTTTTCATGCACCTGTCAATTTTGAGATTTTGGGCTTTTTGGCTTTTCAGACTAGTGGAAAGAAAACATTCAAAAGACACTGTTAAGTGTTTCTTTTATAGCACTTTTATCTATTTGTGTCAATAGATTTCAATTACAATACATATTTTTAAAGGCCGTTTTCTCAAAATGAGTTTTTTCTCCTACACTGAGCCATAAATCTCCACTTCAGTAGCACTTACACACACCAAACTTTACATTTTTATTCCTGTCTATATCCTGAAGGTTTTTACAGAGGGATTTGTTCATATATAATTTGTTTGATTATATACAACATTTTATTTCCCCCAAAATTGTGAAAATATGTTGTTTTCTGGCCGATTCAGATTTTTGTACTAGAAATGTATGCAAATTAGCGCATATTTCATTAAATAATGCCTCATTTGCATATTTAAACATAACATTTTAGAAAACTTGTAATACAAAAAATGTTTGCAATTATCAATGTAATCAATCAACTGGGTAAGTAAGGTGATAAGTAGTAGTTATTTTTTTTACCCTATTCACCTGCAGTGTCTCGCCTAAACAGATTTCCTGTTATCTCTCAGCTCATCAAAAACTCAAGCATAGTTGACCAAACTGAAGCACTCAGAGACAGAGCACTCTTTAATACAGTAAAGCAAATACTACTCCTACTAATAATAATATTTCAGATAAAAATAAAATGTCCTCCACAATATATATATATATTTATACACACTGAATATGCATACAAGCCAAGTCAGAAAGTCAACTTTATTTCTAAATTGCTTTATACAATATAGATTGCTTCACAGCAGCTTCACAATAGTATCAAATTCAAATTCTGCTGTAAAGCAGCTCTAACAAGTCAATAGTGTCATTATACAGCTTAAGTCAGTTCAGTATTGATTCAGTTCAGTTGCATAACTGTGTAAAATTCATCAGTTGTACATACATACTGTATGTATGTGCGAGTGCTATGACAAAATCCTGTACTCTCCACTGCACACTGAACAAGCAAAAGACACACGAGAGTAGTGTTTTACATTTTTCACATCTGTGTGTAGTTTAGCGTGTATGTTCCTCCACAATATATATATATATTTATACACACTGAATATGCATACAAGCCAAGTCAGAAAGTCAACTTTATTTCTAAATTGCTTTATACAATATAGATTGCTTCACAGCAGCTTCACAATAGTATCAAATTCAAATTCTGCTGTAAAGCAGCTCTAACAAGTCAATAGTGTCATTATACAGCTTAAGTCAGTTCAGTATTGATTCAGTTCAGTTGCATAACTGTGTAAAATTCATCAGTTGTACATACATACTGTATGTATGTGCGAGTGCTATGACAAAATCCTGTACTCTCCACTGCACACTGAACAAGCAAAAGACACACGAGAGTAGTGTTTTACATTTTTCACATCTGTGTGTAGTTTAGCGTGTATGTGGCTAATTATTTTATGTTTGTGTGTACAGTTACTACGCAAAAATAACATTTTTAGAAGAGTTATAATAGTTTTGAATGAAGTGTTGCTTTTGCAAGATATGTGTGATGGTTTGCATGCTGTGTGTGTGTTTTGTGGTTTTGTGGTTTTGTGTGTAGAGTTTTGAGAAATGGAGCCATAGTTTAAAAAACTGTGTGTAAGCATTTTAAAAAAACTGTACGATAGGCAGTGTTTGTGTGGGTGCCATGATTATGTCAAGCAGGTCAAACTCTTTATGCCTACTGTTACAGAGCTGTTGTTTTGCCATCAACTATACACCCTGAAGTGGCCGTAGTGCGGCCCAGGAGAGCATGCCGTTACCATAGTTACCACCTCGTCCCCTCTCTCAGACTAATTTGATCTCTAATGCTTGTCAGCAACAGTATGACAAGTGTGTGTGTGTATGTGTGTGTATCTGTACATGTTCATGTGTGTATATAATAAGAGTAAACTGATATTCCACAAAACCATGTGATCTTCAGTGAAATGTCATAAAACCACAAATATTTTGTTTTGGGAAATGTAAGATGTAGCTTCCCATGTGACTGAATGTGAAAGATTCAGAGCAGCTAACATGAAGGTAATGCAGGCATCAGACATGTTTATATCAAACATCTGAAGGAACGCTACCAGGATCTCCTCTGCTGCACTCTGTCATTCTGTTTATGGTGAAATATTTAGCCTGTGTTTGATCGTTTGAAGGTTCTGTGGGTATGTTTACTAGATGTTTAGAAGCATCTCAGCTTAGGGCGGTAGGACATGGTAATTACTGAATGCTATGCATCCTGCTACAATAAACTGATCCCATATGTATGCTTTTTTTTGTATTATGTAACATCCTCTGAATGAAGCCAGATAACCCAAATTTGAATCCCACCTGACAAGATTTTTACACGTTTAGTGTAGACATTTTATATAGTCTAAATCAGGGGTTTTCAAACCCAAATATGAGCCATTTCTTCCTAAAATATAAAGGCATGTGTATATTTTATGTATAAAAAAACTGTTTATACTGTGTGAGGAAAATCCGAAAAAGGATAATCCAAAAGTATTATTACTAATATAAATGTGATATTATAATAAAACAAAATATAACAATTGTTACAAAAAAAGTAAAAATCAATATTTGTTTTCTGACTTCTTCAAACTAGATTCAGCAAAAAAAAAAATGTCTTACTGTCAATACAATAAAATTAATCTTCATAATTTCAGCCTTTGTAAGAGCAGAATTAAATCGTAATGCTAGCAATTTTGGTAAATGTGATTGTACAAAAAAAGCTATACGTTAAACATATTTCATTAATATTTTAAGTGAACATGTTACCATTGACAGCCCTGAAAGTACATTTTGTAAAATCATTTTTTCTCTTAAATTGGTTGTGGACCTCCTAGCACTCACTCGCTCGACGTCTACACCAAACCAACCTTTGAAAGTAAACATGAACGTAGTAAGGTTGTCTGTTGGAAGTTGAACTTCCACTTAAAAGAATTGGCATGACAGACGTGAGCAGCTGAAGAGTCAAACTGTTTACACAGAGTTCACCACTTCACTACTTGGTTTAACATTTAACAGAACTACTGTGCTTACAGCCCAGACATCATCGCACAATGTCCTTTTACAGTCGCTTACATGCACATGTCCAGTGCTGATGCCACCAGATGCAGCCAGCGAAACAGGAAGTGGGTGAAAGTTGAAAAGACCACAGTAGCCCATTGTATGACCCCAGTAATGATTGACAGATCGCTCAATAGATATTCTGGGCATTGAACCCATGCAAAGTATTGAAACACAGGCCGATAAATTGGGTCATGCTGGTCAGCGTGGTTCATTCTCTTGTGTCTAATGGCATTTGGAGAAGAATTCTACTACCAAACATGGATATTTATACAGCTGTCAGTGCAATGCCAAATTACACACACAAATACGTCCCTCACAAGTATAGCCCAAATTGTACAGGCACACAGTTTTTTCATTTTCTGTTTATCTCCACTCTGCCCTTGATGCTTGTAACTTTGTAGTTTACCTACTTTAGATCTGTTTTGGAATTCCAAAGACGTGCACACACGCACACACTAGCAAACACACACAGTAGTCTCTCTGTCTGCCTTGCAAACTCCATTCTCAGGGTTCAAGGACAAAAGCTTTTTGATCTAAGGATGAACATAACCACAAACACACACACAGACACTTCCATTTTATCTTACACCAGTACCAGCTCGTAGTTTGAGACTGAGAGGCTTTATTTTTAGTAAATACATTTCTGAGTATGACAGAGAGATGGATAGAACGATTAGCAGTTTCTCCAAATAGAAGTAAAGATGCACACTCTCAGTCCTCTGAGACCATGTGAGCCCATTATACATTTACAAAGACTCGTTTTGTTACTGATTAGAGGCTGCATTGAGGTCAACAAATCTGCACAAGTTTGGATCTAATAAAGCTATTCCCCATCTCTCCCTCTCTCTCCTTCTGCCTTATTTTTTTTATGGGTTTTAGTGTGTATGTTACTAATGAGCATATCTTGTTATTCTGGTGGGAGACTGTTAGTAGGATGTGTCTGTATTTAGTCAACTTATGTACAAGCATAGCATTTTATCTTACACCAGTACCAGCTCGTAGTTTGAGACTGAGAGGCTTTATTTTTAGTAAATACATTTCTGAGTATGACAGAGAGATGGATAGAACGATTAGCAGTTTCTCCAAATAGAAGTAAAGATGCACACTCTCAGTCCTCTGAGACCATGTGAGCCCATTATACATTTACAAAGACTCGTTTTGTTACTGATTAGAGGCTGCATTGAGGTCAACAAATCTGCACAAGTTTGGATCTAATAAAACTATTCCCCATCTCTCTCTCTCTCTCCTTCTGCCTTATTTTTTTATGGGTTTTAGTGTGTATGTTACTAATGAGCATATCTTGTTATTCTGGTGGGAGACTGTTAGTAGGATGTGTCTGTATTTAGTCAACTTATGTACAAGCATAGCATACAGATACCCGATTAGCCTGATACCTTTAGCTTGTACACTACGCATTTGCAATTTGTTTTATTTATGCTCTATATCGTAAACAATTAAATACAAATTATAAATCAGTGTTGTTTGTGTGTACTTAGTAAACTATAATTATTATCAGATAGTTGAGACAATGTGACCACCAGTGTAGATCAGTTACCGAAGGAATAAATCTAGTAATTCGGTTATTTTTAGAGAATAAAAACCATTCAGAGAAACCAATGTAGTCCCAATTCGAAATGACCAAATCCCACACTAATGACTCAAAAATAGTCAAGTGAGAATTGAAACTCATAGAACTAATTGTGATACTTATGTTGTTACTGACCGGTTGTTCATACGACAACATATAGTATAGCATATAACAGATGTACATTTTTAGCAGTTTTGTCAGTAGTATTTTATCACATAAATGAATAAAATATGTTACCACATTTTGGTTTGTTTAGTATTGTTGTTTAATAGGATTGCATTTATGTCAAAAAGACTGGGAAAAGTCTGTGTAAATACACAGTTTTTTGTTAAACACAATTGTTGTAATTGTTGTTGTTCATTCATTTCTTTCTTATAACTAATAAATAAATTGTTTGGAAACCGTTAAGGAACTGGAATTGTTAAAAGGAATCAGAACCAGATTTGTTAAATTCTTTCAATTCCCTTCCCAAATCAATAATCTGTGTTTTCCTCCACCAGGGCGCTGGTGTTTGTTGCCCATGGAGCAGGAGAGCACTGTGGGGGATATGCTGACATTGCTCACAGCCTGACCCAGCATGGTATTCTGGTGTTCGCCCACGATCACGGTGAGTGGCAGACTCCTAATCAAATGGCTAAAATCCCCAACACACAGATTTGTTGGTTAGCAACAGTGCAGCAGTGTTTTGGGTGGTGTAGCAGGGCGTGCTCATTATGAGGCTGTGAGAGTGTGGGGTGAAAAATGTATTTACGCCCACATTTGATTCCTTGTAATTCCTCCACCCATTTTTCCTGTCATTGATAACAGATGTTGTGGGCATGGACATCCTGGGTTTAGAGTGGTTTAGAAATGACAAAAATGAAATGTAACATGTAGAGAATATAGAAAATAGCAGGTGCTATGTGTACAGAATGTTAAAGCGGTTTTGTGGCAGTGCCATGGTAACTAATGATTCACACAGGGAGACAGCAAGCCGCCTTGTGATGAGCAGTTGGGGTTGTGTGAGTGTGTGATTTGACTGTCTGGTGTCTCGGTGTGAGTAATTGGTTCTATTGAAATACAACAAACAGAAACCACTACAGTCAGTCTCTCTCTATCGGTTTCATTCTTTCGGTTTCTCTCCTCCTCTAACATGCAGTCTCACCTTTCAGTATGTCTGTAACATGCTTTTTGAAATTTCTATTCTATTCTATTTTATTCTATTCATTTGTTTGTTCCATTATTCATTTTATGTTAATTTGCTTGACTAAATATCATGTCAGCTGTTTGCCCAAATTTCCTGCGCTCTTTGTGAGCTGTTGGCATGGCGTTACGAGTGACAGTCTTCTTTTATCTCCTGTTTAAAAGGAGAGCTGATATACAAAGACACGAGTGAGGGGAAACATATGTTTTGAGTATAATTCTCTTTCTCTTTCTGTCTCAGTTGGTCATGGCCAGAGTGAAGGTGAGAGAATGGATATCAAAAACTTTCAGATTTACATCAGAGATGCCCTCCAGCACATTGACATCATGAAGGGCCGGTACCCCAATCTGCCAGTCTTCATCATTGGACACTCAATGGTAGGACACCGTCAACAGATTTTGAAACCAGTTCACCGTGTTTTTCTATAAGCAGACAGGGGTCAAATGCCTTTTATAGGCCTGTTCACACCAAGAACGATGGTTCTCAAGATTAGATGACAAATAATCCTACATTTTCAGTGTAAAAGCTATGACTGTGAGTGAGAGTGAATATACGTTAATGTAAGCGAAAGAGAGTAGACCACACTTGTATTTCCCTAACCAAAGGAACTTTTTGCGTAGTTAGGCATGTGATCAAAATTTTGGGGCATTTTAATATTTTATTTTACATATTGATTTGTGTTGTATTGTATTCAAGGCAAGGCAAATTTATTTACTTGAGAACTTCATCTCTGTTTCCAAATGCAATGACTTCAGTTTTCACCTTGATTAACTGAAGAACATTTTGGCACATCCAACTGTTAATTTCATCAATGCATTGGCAGAGGGAGTCAATGGGGCTGTAGTCATTTGGTGATAAGGCTAGGTAAATCTGGGTATCATCAGCATAGCTGTGATAGGCAATTTGGTTCTTTCTCATTATTTGGCTTAGTATTCATGCTTTCATGCAGCTCTGTTTTTGGCAGCCACCAACAAGTGTGCAAATGCCTCATTCATATTTACATGTTTCCTACATTTATATTAAAATTCTTTCTGAGAATCAGACATGTCACAAAAGGTGTAAATATTTTTAGAGGGGAAATTTCTATGCTAACATTTAACACTCTGTTTAATAACTATTCCAAGCTATTTACGACTGTTGGAAAAGATAAAGTAAACTATTTTGAACTGTCTGTGACTCATGGGGTGGAGGACACAGGAAGAATGTTTGCTTTTGCTTTGTAGCATTTCCAATGTTCAGTATGTGTTAAACCCAAATTGTGCATGACTGAGTGTGAACAAAAAAATCCAGCTGGAAGCTCTTTACCTTTGTTTTTTGCTCAAGAGTTCCTATTAATAAAACAGACCAGCTGCATACTCAAGAAGCTTCATGAGCCCTAAAGACTAGAAATGTGTCTGGATGTGTCTGCACTGTATTTCTGTGGAACATCACTATCACAAAGTCGAACTGGGATAGTTGTATGGTATAAATATCCCACTGCACGGGTGTCCTGGTAAAGGAATCCTTTATGTACAGTTAATACCCACAATGCACTTCTCTCCTGTTCCTTCAGAGTTTTCCAACTCTAAATAATGAAATGTGTTTCTGCTGCTCTCCATCTCTCTTCCTTTTTCTTGACTTTAATTTAGGTCTTCCACTTGCTTACTCTCTAATCTAGTATCTTATGTAATACCAGTCTGTTTGGTCCTTATGTAATTTGGTTTGGTCCAGTCTTTAATAAGAAATATGGAAAATGAAATGATTTTACGCAATACTTCCTGTAAAGAAATTTCCAATTAGGTGTGTCTTGTTACCTCCAGTCGTTGGACTATATGTCCTTGTACTTTTCACTTCCTGTGACCTGAGGAACTGAAGTTACTGGCTGAATAAACATTTGCTTTCCTGTCACATGTTTACAGATGAAAACGATAATAATCTCTCTCTCTCTCTATGTGTGAGTGTGTGTGTGTATGAAGGAAAGACATGTACCGATGCAAGCTGTTTTGAGTGTAATTATCTGTGTGTAGTTTGTGCATTTGAAACTTTACTCCCAGTTACTCCCAGGGATGCAAAAATTCCAAATTAAAAAGCAATTACCTTATAATCAAATCAAAGCAGACCACCTATTTTTTTTGATGAAGCTTCTAGAGTTAGTGTGCATTTGTAGTGTGTCTAAACTGAGTGTGTGTTTGGGTTTGTATGTCTGCTCTGAGTGTTTGTGTGTGAGTGAGTATCTTAAATCGGCCCATTATTGGAGTCTCTTAGAAATGTGGTGGGAACTGTTCTTTAATCTCTCCACCTCTTTTGAATCCTGGCCTCTATTCATGAATATTCATAGATAGGATCATAATAGAAACAAGATGAAGAAACCAGAGGAGCAGAGCATCAGAAAATTACAAATTAGAGGTTTCTCACTCATATTTACTCATGTGAGGATGGAAAACATGTTTATTGTCAAAGATGATTTTTCATTAAGTGTATAACCAACATAATATTAATGCAGGGTTTGTAAACTTTTTGATACAAAGGACCCCAATGATGTTCAGCTTGCAATGGATGCCCTTCCTAAAATATAAAGACAGCTATATATTTTAATGTATACAAAACCCCAAAATTAAGCATGATATTATAAAAACAACATGCTGTTTAGAAAATTAAGTAATTGGCTTTTATATTATATTTACAGTGTACCACTTTTAGAGTACTGTTAAATGTAAATATAATATAACCCCAGTAGTAATAGCCAGTAATGGAAATGAATGAATGGAAGGAATTTTTTAACTGTGGAATATATATGTGAGGAAGTACTCTACTATTACACTGCTATATTGTGCTGACATTATTGAGTCTACAGTCTTGTTTTACTACAGGGAGGGAGCATTTCCATTCTGACCGCATGTGAGAGGCCGCAGGATTTTGCAGGTGTGGTTCTCATAGGCCCCATGGTTCAAATGAATGCTGAATCTGCTACACCTTTCAAGGTAAAAAGTCACAGAACTATAGTGACAAGCAGTTCTTCTTTCTCCCCAATTGTTTGCATTTAATATCCACCACAACTGAAACATGAGGCTGTAAATTAGATCTGCTGCCCCCTGCAGTCAGACTGTTAAATGCAATCAAATAACAATAGCTTTCAATTGTCAGCTGTCAAATAACAGCAGTAGAGCTCTCAGCAGTGTAGCAGGCAGCAGTGATTTCATCTATTCAATGAAACTCTGAACATGTTCCAATTCAATTTAACAACGAGAAAGTATCCAAATAGCCATTGTGCTAATTTGAAAGTATTTAGAGTATCTATTGTTTTATCATTTCAGACACACAGATTTTTGTGAATTATTTTTGCTTTTTTTAAATAATACATAATGCCATTTATGGATCAGTATTTTATCTAAAGCAATAACATTCATACATTTTAGGTGTGGATTAAGTCCAGGGCTACTGTCTGTTTATCCAATATGTGAACATTGTAAATTTTGTTAGCTGTTTAATTTGTAAATTTGAGAATGTTTCTATAAAGTAAATTAAATTAAATAAATATGTAAATTCCGTCATTCAGTAACTGATGCGACAGAAATGTTCAGTTCTCGTCGTAAGTCGTAAATCGTCAATGTCTGTGGGTTTTTGGATTCTTTGCAGGTTTTCCTGGCAAAAATTCTAAACCGCTTGACTCCCAAACTCTCTCTTGGTTCGATCGAATCAAAATGGATCTCACGGGATCCCAAACAGGTACAGGAATGTATGTCAAAGGTCTTCTGTAGAAGTCAGGCAATGTATATATGCGTAAATTTCACAGACAGTTAGTGTTTGAATAGGCCTAAGTAGACAATCTGGCAGTGTTGTTTGTTTTTGCTGTTGAAACAGTAGTTACACAGTAAACCTACTCTTTCAGAGTGAAGCATATACATAGTGATAACATATGAATGTAATTTTCTTCATATCTTGGCCCTGGAACGCTATGTCCACAGAAACAGCTGGTCCCATTTTTTCAGCCATAGTAGACAACATAAACATCTTACACTCAAATAGATTTCATTGTAATTGTTCAAAACCCTGTTTACTGAGTGTAGTCTTAAGCAAAGAGTTACTGTTATATTAGGATCATGTTTGTAATCCTACATAATCTCCACGTGTCCATTAGGTGGAGGCATATGACACAGATGAGCTAAATTATCATGGAGGGCTGCGCGTCTCTTTCGGAATGCAGCTGATGGATGCGGCGGCTCGCATCAAGAGAGAATTACCCAACATTACATGGCCCTTCTTCATTCTCCATGGAGACGCCGACAAGCTTTGTGACATCGGAGGCACTCATCTAATGTATAATGAGGCCAAGAGCACTGATAAAAACCTGAAGGTGAATCAAACGTGCATAAACATGGGCCAAAAAAATGCAAAAATTAACATTCTGTCATCATTTGCTCAATCCAAAACTGTATGGAACACAAAAGAATATATTTTGAAAAATGTTTCAGTGTTTTTTTTCGGGTCCATGCAATGAAAATCATTGGGGTCCAAAGTTGTTTTGGACCCTGTTGACTTTCATTATATCAGGGGTGTCCAAACTCAGTCCTGGAGGGCCACTGTCCTGCAGAGTTTAGCTCCAACTTGTCTCAACACACCAGTCTGCAAGTTTCTAGTATGCCTAGTAAGACTTTGATGAACAAAAACTGTTGAAACATTCTTCAAAATGTCTTTTGTGTTCTGCCGAAGACAGAAAGTCATACAGGTTTGGAAAAACATGAGGGTGAGTAAATGATGACAGAATTTTTATTTTTGGGTGAGCTATGCTTTTAAACTGCAGAACTCAAGTCTTGACTTGTGAATATGATCTGAGCTGTTGTTTTTGCCAGTAGATGTTTTGGAGATCACAGGATAACCGGATCCAGATGCACATTCATGCAGTACTCTGAATAAAAACACATATAATAGACCTCCACCAATATTCATGCATACACTGTAAAAAAAAAAAAAATCCTGTAATTTTTACAGGAAAAACCAGCAGCTGTGGTTGCTGGAATAATTCTGTAAAAATACAGTAAAAAAATGTAAACATATATATGGAAAAAACTGCAGTTTAAAATCGTAAATTACAAAATAATAACAACAAAACAAAACAAAACAAAAAATAACCCATTTTAAACGAGTAAATCCAACAGCCATTTTCTGTGAATTATAAAGGCCATTCTGCTACTAAAATGTGTTTTGTACCTTTAACATATAGTGACAAACAATGTAAGTTACATGAAACAGTTTTTCCCTGTATATAGTAAGGGAACGTCCTGTTTTAACAAGTTATTAACTGTAGTATTTTTACAGTCTTTAACAGTTAATATTACAATAATTTTGTACAGTGTATTCCTTCCTAACCCACAGATCTGTATGTGTTTTTGTGACAAACAGGTGTATGAAAAAGCCTACCATGCCCTACATCATGACTTACCTGAAACAGTTGAGTCTGTCTTAAAGAAGGTGAGCACTTGGATCCTGGAGAGACTCCCCAGCCCTCATGGGTCTTAGCTGTCAATCACCGCATACACAGTTGCCTAAGCCCCGCCCTCTACCGAATCTTTCATCTCTATGACAAAGAGATGTCTGATTGCACTACATGCCAACAAAACTACCCTCATTCTAATTTACCTAGGTGATAAGAGGTCATTAGTAAGTGACCTTTGACCTAGAGGTCCAATTAAGCTTTAATATGGCCAGTAAGGGTTCTGTGGGAGTTTATATTCCCTGAATAGCAATCATCAATCATCACCCGGTTGCCCTTGGTGCTTAGCTCTCTTTTGTGTTGCCACAGTAATAGAAAGCAGCTGCAATTTGCTCTTTGTGATGTCCACTGCTCATAAGAGATGCAGTGCTGCCCCCGCTGGACAATAGTAGTACTGCATTCGCAGTTGCCAAGGCAACTCAACCTTATTGCTTATGGCTTGGCAGAAAAACAAACTGAACCTACAGAATGAAAATACATTTACATTTACATTTAGTAATTTAGCAGACAATGGAAGCAATCAAAATCAACAAGAGAGCAATGATATGCAAGCTTTGAGACATTCAGAGAGCAAAATGTCTGCTGGGCAAATTTAACATTGCACTCGAAGAGATCAATTAGACAATCTCTACAGACACATCTATGCAGAAGATCCCACAGATTCCCATATATACACTACATATACCCACAATAAGGAGAATTGGAAAGGTTTTTTGTCTGTTATAAATTTCCTTTTGTGGTTTGACTGTTTCAAACACCTCAGACTGTTCCATTCCTTGGAGTAAATGGGGAAGTGGCTGTTCTGCAGCTGGATTTACTTAATATGAAACCTATTTACAGCTGATTCTTTCTTATGGGCTCTGGAATTTTCATATCTTATTCCTTTATTTTTAAAAGCATTTCGTTACTTTGACTACTTAATAATAAATATGTTACTGTTGAAATTATAATATGTTCACAGTAGCTTTTGACCTCATTGTAGACCTCAGGGTGCGCATGGGGTTTGTAGCTCTAAAACAACATGAAATTGTAAAAGGTCAGTCGTTCACACCAGCTTAACATTTAATGCAACTGTTTTCATTCAGACAAAGGAGAGTTTTGTTACAGAGATTCGTCTGTAATCCTCAAAGGCATTTTATCTATGAATGTAGATCAGTGAAGGTTTTACTGAATGTGGCGTATTTTTAATGGAAGCAACAAGCAAAAACATTCTCCAGCTTAATTTTTTAGATTGTCATTGAGCTCTCGGATTTAGATCAGTTAGTAATAATACTGCATCTGTAATGTGAGATGTAATGTATTAATGTAATGTAATAATACTACATCTGTAATGTGAGCAGAAATGAAGTGTCCAGCACAAGATTGTAAATAGTGTGCATGTTTGTTGAGAGAATATGTAGAGAGAAACTATAGTTTGGATGTTCGTTTCACACTTAAGCATTTTATTGAGTATATTGTCTCTCAATCATTTGAAATGGATCACTTGTAAATGAAATGTATGTAACACATCTTATGAGAAATTGTAGAATAACTAAATCTTTATCAGTGATAATCCTCTGTGACCTTGACTGTTTCTGTAACTGTTATAAAATCTTCCTAAAGTGGAAGTACTAGGAGCCCTGTGATTGGAGGAGCGGCTAATATTCTCAAGGATATTATCTTTACATTGGGCAATAATGAATGATTCATTTGGATTAGAAATGTCCATTTGAATTGCTTGCCTTTACTATGGCATCAAAAAATCCTCTCCTACAGTTGCACTGTCCTAGTAAATGGCACATTTAATATAAAAAGTGTTCTGAATTGTTGCATAAATACTGTAATATATTAAACACAGAAATTAAAGCTATAATGTGATTTAAATAATTCTCAGTATGGCCAGTTAATAGTCTCTGAATTGTAAAGTCTATGAAATAATAAAATTTAAATGCTAAATAATAAGTAGTTTTTGTGGATTTTTTATTCTTCAGACTGATCTCAACACAATGGATTTTAGCTTTGCTTTCCTGTCTGAGAAATTTCTTCTGTGTGAATATTTTTTTTAATTATTATTTTTAATTGATTGATTTATTTATTGATTGTGTGCCTTTAACTTCTCATGAACATTAACAGATGACCCCACCCCAGTGATGTGCCATGACTTGGACCATATGGTCATGAGTTCTGATTAAGCACCAAAAATCCCCTAGAACCCCTTCTATCCAGTGCAACAGAGATTTGTGGTTTGGTCTTGATATGAGTGCCAGAAATAATTATGCCTGGAAAATAGTTTATATAGTCTCCAGTGAAAATACATTATAAGGATCTTTTTTAGTAACCATATCGTGAAAAACTAAATTACACTCTGATTTGTTCTAGAAAATAGTCACACATCTATTATTCCAGTGGGCATGTTTCCTTGGTGCACCTCTGTCCCAGTTTCTCCAAGGCAACAGGCTTGTGCTTTTAGTGTCAGTCTTAGAGGCCTAGAGGTAACTGACTTTTTCTCTCAAATTATCAGAATCAGAATTAGCTTTATTCACCAAGTGTGTGCAAACACACAAGGAATTTGTTGTGTTTTTGGGAGCTCTTGGTACAAACATATTATTATTTATTATTACTACTATTTTTTCCTTATATGTGTGTGTGTGTGTGTGAATAATAAGCATAAATAAATAGATACATAAATAAAAAAAATAAAAAAAATGGAAACAGTGAAAGTTCTAAATGTTTATTGGTACCTGAAAGCATAACCAAATTTGCCAAAATATTGAAAAAGCAATAACCATCAAAGAATATCCATGCAAAGAATGTGTAGATTTTTGTGGATGACCAACATACCTCTTTACTGAGAGTTCTGCCCTAACAACACTATTTTCTAATATTTCCTTAATATTCCTTTATTCATATTATGAAGAGTACAGGTGCATCTCAATAAATTAGAATGTTGTGGAAAAGTTCATTTATTTCAGTAATTCAACTCAAATTGTGAAACTCGTGTATTAAATAAATTCAATGCACACAGACTGAAGTAGTTTAAGTCTTTGGTTCTTTTAATTGTGATGATTTTTTAAAAGAACCAAAGACTTAAACTACTTCAGTCTGTGTGCATTGAATTTATTGAATACACGAGTTTCACAATTTGAGTTGAATTACTGAAATAAATGAACTTTTCCACGACATTCTAATTTATTGAGATGCACCTGTATATGATTAAAAAAATATGATAAAAGGAAAATCACCATTCACTTACACCTTTTTTTCCAATACAATAAATGTGTGTTCCACAGAAGAAGACAAAAATCAGGTTTGAAACAACATGTTGGTGATTAAATGGTGACAATTTTCATTTTGGGGTGAACTATCCCTTTAAGATTAGAGGAAATCCTCATGTCAAGATGAGCTATTTTTACCCGGCAGGGGGCGCAAGCGGTACCTCGAGGAAAATGACTGGAGGATTTAAAGGTAGGCGCTGTGTGGCCATGGCAACGGCTTTACCTGCGACCTGAATGAAGACCCGAGAATAGATCAACTGCTCTATATTTACTGACAGGGAACTCCTTCTCTTTTGGCGTAAATGTGTTTCGTGAGTTGTACATCTGAGATCATTTGTTCCTTGGAGCCCTTCTAGGAATGGACAGTTAAATTGTAGCCTTGTTTTTGTGCTTTCAAAGCAGCACAAATCATTTAATCAGCTTTTATTTTTTATCATAAAAGTTAATAATTTACGTTTCATGGTTGCATATACAACGCATTTATATAAGTCATGACTCGATAAGTCTCATATGGAGGTTTCGTGTAAGACAGCTCCACCGTAGGGCTTTTGCTATACTTATTCCTTTACTTGTATTTTTGAGAGAGTGTTTCCGTTTATTTCTCAACACCCAGCTCTGCTTGAGATCATAATTTGTCCCTGGCCTGTGCCCCCTACTACAGCCTCGGCGATCAACTCATCTTCATCTACTTTCTAAATCTTGCACACTCTCTTCAAAGGGGTGGGGCTACTATCTCATGCTGCTCTGCGATTGGTCAATTCCGACGTCCATCAGGACTTGACGTTCTGGCTCGTTCTCGAACTCTGTGACCGCGCCCCCCGAGGCTCAGCGGTTCGCGCGGTGGAGAAGGAGAGAGAGTGCGCGCCTCGTGAGAAGGCACCAACGGTCTGTTCGTACAGGAAAAAAACGAGAAAATTGCAGCTTATACATGGCGAAATTTGTTTTACTCGACGTCCAGACACATATCCATTCCGGACCGCGGCTCTGACAACGACAGGCGACGCGAATATCTGCAACTCTCAAAGGTTGGAGTTTACCCAGGGTTTTCGTAGCAGTTTCGTGTTTGGAGGCGCGCGAGTGCCGGTGTAGTCGTCTCCGTGGGTGCCGTTTCGTGCTTTCCGGTGGCAGCTGACACTTGTCCCTATTTCCGAAGACCAGGAGGCCTGCTCTGTCTCTCTTCTGTCCGGTTCACCCGGTGTCCCTGTCAGCGCCTGGCCGCCTGCACACTCACCCCGGTGCGGCCTCGCTCATTCTCGAGCCCCCGGCGACGAAACGGCTACCTCGCCGGTAGAGCCCGTTACCCACACTCCTCTAAAACACCTGCTGTGTTTACACCGACCAACAAAATAGGGAATCCTAGGAGAAAAAACTGAGAAGAGAGACGGGACCCGTGCGCTGGTGACACAGACAGACGGAGCTGTCATACAGCATATCAACAGTTCTTTGAATTTACATATATTAAGTTTATTCTTTCACGCGACTGGCTTATTCTCTCGTGCACATCCGTTATTAAGGTATTAGACAACAAAACGTTGCCTGTAGAAACTAAACACTCTTTGTGCAAAGGCAAGGCCTCGTCTGCTAACTCAGATAACGTTAGCTGCATCGCTAACTCTCAGCCTGGGTTTAATCAGCATCTAATCTTATTAACTGCACTTTTGACTGCTATTCATCGCTTACTTTGTACCATACGATACAATAGAGGAGGGATTTTAATTTAAAGTCACTGGTTCAACGCACAGTAACTTACAGTATCCTTGCCAAGAGATCTATTGAGCAGGAGGAGGAAACAGAGTTGCCAGCCTTTATAATATACTAACTTACTCAGTCTGATTAATTCCCACCTTGGGAAACAAAAACCGAAGAGTCTTATGTGTTGGGCTGGTTTCAGCTGACCTTTGCTACCAAAATTAACTAAGTCCATCGTGAGCTTTCTTGTGCTGCAACCCCGCTGCATGCACTGATACGGGACAGATTGATTTATATTTTTGTACCATAGTTCAGGAGCCATTTAGAACAGGGTCAGATATCTGCACAAACCCCCTACTACTGTTTAGACATGAGTATTGAGATTCCAGTCGGTCTGACGGAGCTGCTTCAAGGCTACACAGTGGAGGTGTTGCGCCAGAGGCCGCCGGACCTGGTGGAGTTTGCCGTGCAGTATTTCACCCGCCTGCGGGACACCCGAAGCCAGGAC